CGGGTTGGTTCGGAGTTCTGAATACAAGTATATTATTTCAAATGTATCTTTTTATAAAATTTTGGGGCAAGTGTATGAAAAACTTTTCACTTGTTACTTGGTGAAAATCAATAACAGTATTAATAATGATAATAATCACAAATATTCACAATATAGACTTTATTTCCAACACACAGTCCATCTGAGAAAACAAGTGTTGTAGTGAAATGAAGTATGTATTGCGAAAATTTGTGATTAGGTATTATCAGGAATAGAAGAAAATATAGACATTTTAGAGTCCACTGAAAGATCAATAATGACTTTTTTCAACTGAAAAATCTCTGAATCTTTTGTGCAATTCTATATCTTATCATGGAGGTTTCATAAAATAACAAGACTCGACGTCTTTAGCCGTATTCGGGCTATTTGAACTGTCAAATATCGCACAGTTGACGCGAGTCTACTCTGAATAAATAATCAGTGTTACTAGAATCGTTCAAACTGCGAACCCGAATACGCTTTTTCGTTCACAACATTGTAACTATACTTGTGTCTACAAATTGATACAATATTTTTAGTTTTTCAAATTAGAAATCAGAAACTATTTACGTTTATTAGTGGTGAAATGTGAAAGTTAATATTGAGAATTACTTGGTAAATAATCCCTTTGCAACCTTTGGCTACCTTCCATGACATAACGAGTTGAGTTGGTATTTATTTGAAGATACAAGTGATCATCAATTTTCAGTTATTAGTGAGGTAAAATGATAAACCACAAAGCTATTGTACAGTGAAACACGTGTTGAGGTTTCGTAATCTGTTCAGTGAAAATCTCACAATGAATTGCTACTTGAATAGGCATGTTAAGCTTTTTCATCAAATACCAGTCAATTCCAACACATGTAACATGTTGAGTTGATGTTTATTTGAATAAAAAATTAATTATTTCAATCTGTCGTTACTTGTCGTTACTGACTGTTTGGACTTCAGTGGTTTATAACTACCCAGTAGTTTTTCGGGTTGAACACTTCATTGTGAGATTTAAAAAAAATTACGTGAATGCAACTTGTTTCACTAGACTGGATAACTTTCCGGGAACTGCCTCGATAGATATTGCGAAAAGTATAGGTAGAAAAATCATCAAATTTTTTTAGTACGAAAATGATATTGAGTCGAAATCAGCTGAAATAGTTTCATGTTCCAAACACTTTCGATTACACTCGAAATAGACTCGAACATTGTTATTTTCAATTGAACATTTTCAATAGAACATTTTATTAGAGATTAAGAACTTCTAGATCTATCTTAAATCACTTACTTTTTCTTTTTCTAGCATATATTCCGAAATATTTGACTTTCAATAAGAAAAATTGCATTTTTGTGATTGATTCAGCCGTTACTTGATGAAGATCCATAGTAATTTTGAAAACTACATCCCAGGATTTGATCTCTATAAACTTTTATTTGAAAAAATATAATCACGATATGTTTCGCTACCACACAGTAGCTTTCTCAAGTGTATGAATTCATACACTTGAGAAAGCTACTGTGCTAGCGAAACATGTGGTGATTATATTTTTTTAGATCGTGAGGTGTAGTTTTTGAAAAGAAAAATTGCAATTGCAGGACATTTCTCATTCGAATATATTTTCAATTTCTGAAATATTTCTAGGTTTTTCTCATAGGACTTTTAGAAAAAAGGTTCAAAATGAACAATTATTGGTCCGACTGTGTCATTTTTTATACAAGGTGTCCATCAAAACTATTGAATATTGACGTTCAAAAATTGGTCAAAATGAATGAGAAATATATTCAAATGAAAATTGTGCTGAAAATTCAATTTTTCATATCAAATTTTAAATATTTCGGAAACTCTGCAAGATAGAGAAAAGTGTGAGATACGAAACAGATGTAGAATTTTATATAGGATCTAAATCCACAATAAAATATAGTATGATCAATTGAAAATTAAGAAGTTTGGCCTACTTCTGGTATAATTGGAAGTGTGAGGAAAATTGAATTATTTTAGCTGAATTGTTAAGACATTATCCTACACTGTAAAATTTTCATACACTTATACTTTTTGCAATGTCTATCGACGCAGTTCCTGGAGAGTCACCCTGTACGATGGCGTGTTTATTACATGTGGAATATATCTAGTCATTTAGTTGTGTTGCGGTTTTGTGCACTGAAAATGTTGCAAAAGTGTGTTACAACTAAATAAATACATTTGTCATGGATTTTTATCAAGTATCAGTCAATTCCATCAAATAAACTGGTATAGTTTTTGATCCTGAGTAGTTTTACACAATGAATGAGTTGAATAAAACTGGTGCCGAAAAAGTGTACCCATTTTGTTCAATAGAATGGTACTTGAAAATATTGGAGGAAGTAATGAAACTTCAAAAACTTAATAAATTTGGTTTACTCTATTGAGATATAACTTTATTTCCGTGCCCTCATTCTCAAAACTCATATACTTATTGATCTGTTTGATCATACTATCATGTTTATGTTATCAATTGAATTGAAATGATTAGGAATCAATGATTTTATTTGAATCACGTTAAGGAATTTCCACCAAACGAACAAAACAGCTACTGTGTCGATTTCGACAAAACGACCTTATGTCGCCGTCATACTAGAAATATTACACTACATTAGAAATATTAGAAATCACCAAAAACTTTCACTTCACATTTTTTAAAAAAACAATAATTTGAAAGTCATGTCATGTTAAGTTGAAGTAAAGTCAACATATTAATGTACTCAATGTAGTGTGTGTATAACGACCGTTTTTGGTCACACCTTCATATTTTCATAGCTGAATGTGAGAATCTTTGGCAGTACTAATAGATTGTTTCAATTTTTAGGGAACGAATATCTGTAAGCCTTTAAAAAAACGTAAATTATACAGCCAGCTTCAAATACTAAAGAACAGTAAGAAGATGACATAAAACCCGAAATAGAATCACAATAAAAATGAGAAAACAGAGAAAATACATATAAACATTCAAGAGCAAAATCATCTCAGGAAGCTATGAAAAATAAGATTGCTCTATGCCTAAAGCATTCAGCGGAACATCCTAGCCTTGGAGACGATCAAACTTCACTATTGAAAACAATTACGAATAGAAGACAAACTGAATCTATTCAGAGAGTAAAATCACACAAAAATTACGTAGAATAGGATTTAACTCAAGTCGAAGTGGGACATATCTTCGTTTAATTCCCAAAAGATCTAATTCTGCAGAGGAACATCAATCCCTTATTTGAAGAACATAGCATCCATACTTGGACCAGAGCAAGGCTTTTTCATACCTCAAGATGATAAAGCTAGGGTTCCTATTGGTCTAACTGCAGTAAATAAGCAAGCACCTCTTCTAATGCAAATTGAATATAGAATCAAATTGCCTGATCACGACTGGGTAATTGCTGAGCGGCATAAATTAATACCAGAATTTTATGCTGGTATAAAAATCACTTCCAGTATGCTAGAACAACATACATCGCTATCCGAAGTGAAAATCATGGTTCATCTACTGCTAATAATCATGCTCAGGAATTCGAGACGCTTCTCGAACTTTGAAGCATTAGCTAAAACTGACCACGGATTGGTAAAACCAGTGGTGATCATGACGGTTGCTGAAAGGCCAGATGAAAATCCGCGTTATCAAAAATTTATAAGGTTTGCTATGCAACACATTAATCGACACGATTTCGATGCATGTTTTTAGCTACCAATACTCTTGGCAGAAGTGCGTATAACAGAGTAGAGCGCAAAATGGCTCCTCTTAGTCGTGAACTGGCTGGTTTGATATTACCTCATGACCATTTTGGGTCTCATTTGGATGAACGTGGAGTGACAATTGATGAATATCTGAAAATATCCAAGTTCGAGTTTGCAGGAAATGTGTTAGCTGAAGTATGGAGTTCAATGGAAATTGATGGCTAACGTGTTACTGCAAAATATGTTGGGCCGGGCGAACAAGATCTGTCGGATTTCCCAGACATTGAATGTTATACAGAACATAGAATGCTGTCGCCTATTTAGATTACTAGACAACACGTTTCTTCAATCACCAGTAAAGATAAAACAAACATTTGATGACCTATAATCTATTCGTTTTCGCAACAATGATCCCATCTAGTATCTATGTTTTTTCGCTTCCTCTCCTTTCGCTCAAAAAATTTGATAATGAAAAAATTGCAGCCCCGTATAAAAACAGTCTAGGGAAGGTATGATGAAAAATGTTCGTGTAGTGTTAACGAAAAAAAAACATATTGTAACGAATCTGAAGCTGCTCCTGACCGATATGCCGGCCATCGAACAAACACATGACATCACCGCAAAAGGAATGCAGTCGGCAACCGCCGGTAAAACTCTAGTTGAGTATCGAACCACCGATTGGTGGAGTTCCAGTTTCAAGTTTGTTTTCGTAACTGAAACAAAGTTTTTTTTTCTGTTTTTAAAAACGAAACTGGTCGCAAGCGAGTCCGTTTGGTGGAAATCCGCCTTTAGAATCCTGAAAGTGCTTATAGATTGTCATAAATCATTTCCAATATATTGATAGGTACGTAGACAATCCCGCAACTAGAGTAACGTAGAACTCCTAACTACCCGTTTTAGAGAAGTATGATTATTTAAGTAACTTTTATGATATTATCTTTTAAGGCAGTTTTTAATTACTGATTTGATTGTATTATTCTTGCAGTTCTCAATAACACCGACATTAGCATCAAAAAGTAAATTCGATTAAAACTTTGTTCACTCATTCACAACACAAAAAAAAATCAGAAAATGTTTGTCTCAAGGTGAAGTGTCTGATGTGACTTGGGAAATACCTGAATTTGTGAAAAACATTTCTTGTATAAATAAGTTTTTTGGTGCACACTCGTCAATTCCTACAAAACTTCGAATGAAATATTCTTTCCCAGTCATAACAGTTTCTTTACAAATCCGAAAATTGAGAATAACTGTGAATCCACTTTGCAAAAAGAATTCACAATATATGCTGATGTAAATAAGCCACAGTACTTATTTAAGAAAAACGAAACACTAGTTTACAAGTAGTATTCTTTGAAATTTTCCGTTAAAAAAACTGTTCTGATGTTTATGGTATCAAACTTCCTACTGGAACGATAAGAGGAAGAGGCAAAATACAATACAGCGGCAATACAGTAAAAATGTGGAGCTCAGCAGTATTTGATCCAATGAGATATTAACGAAGCATTTTCAAAAGCCTTTGAATAAATAAAATAGTGTTTGTTTATCTCCCTAGAATACTTCACGTTAGATTTTGGACGGGAGGAACTGTCGAAGAATTTTTTCTTTTCTGCAGCGCATTTATGAACTCTTCATTCTCCTTTCGTACTGAAAAAAAACATTTCCAATTAGTACAAACGTATAAATCTTCAATATTGATACCGAATCAGTAATGCTGGAGAGTGATGAATATGACAAATGAAAATTTATCTAACCAAATCAAAACACAAGTACCTCCAATGAATCCTATCAAGGAAACTGTTGTTGGAATAATTCAGGACATAAGAACATACAAAAAAACAATTATTTGCGTGAAGTTGATTCAATTTTTTCTTGTAAAAACCGAACATGGTTTGACGATATCGGCCCCATTCATGGAATACATGGAGAAATCCTCTCACTGGTATATTTATATTGATCATTTGATAGTGGTATGTTATGAAACTAGATTAGACTAGACTTATATTTATTTTTTCATCCAAAAATGAAATTTATACACATCGGGAAATTCATTGGCAAAAACAGTATATGGATAACTTCGATGTTTCATAAACTATGACGTCACTAGATTACGAAATACGGAACTAGCTATAGGAATCGCCATTAATTTCAAATGTAAGCGGTATGCTTATATGGTGGAAATTCAGAGAATAAAATAGCCCCAGAAAGTATTATCCGATAACTCTCAATCCATTATGAATGTTTGTTTCCAATCTCTGGAAGAAAATTTTATTTTCGAGAAATCCACTGATTCACTTGTTTTCAGCCAATTTACGACAGTAATGTCAAAGGCAGTTCTTTGTTAATTTTTGGTCCCTAAATGCGAAAATGATGGTAAAAATTCTCTAACACGTAAGACTTTTGTGTTATGATTTTTTTCACAAAATTTTAATGAACACGACATTCTAAATTTGCTTTTTCCCTTTTCTTCCACTTGTCCAAAGAGATAAAATGTGTGTTTGTCTAAATCCAAATAGTGTGATTGAAAAATTAGGATTTGCACATAACCCTGTTGAATGGCGTTTATTTATAGATTCGTCTAAAACAAGTTTAAAAGCCGTTCTGCTCCATAATGGTAACAAAAGACCATCTATTCCTCTTGCACATGCAGTTGCCATGAAGGAAACACACGAAAGTATATCACTTATTCTAAATACAATATAAGTTATAATTGCGTATAAGTGGCAAATATGTGGTGACTTTAAAGTCTTAGAACTATTACTAGGTCTTCAGGGCGGATTTACGAAGTTTTGCTGTTTTCTTCGCCTTTGGGCAACACAGAGCCATTATCAAGTAAAAGAATGGCCTCCGAGAGATAAATATATTCCAGGTCAAGCTAACGTGAAAAATATACCTCTCGTTAATCCCAAAAACGTTTTGTTACCTCCATTACACATTAAACCGGGGTTAATGAAAAATTTTGTAAAAGCATTAGACAAAAAAGCTGATTCGTTTAAATATCTTAAACACGTTTTTCTAAAATTAAGTGATGCAAAGCTCAGGGAAGGTATAGTTGTTGGATCACAAATTAGAAAACTACCAAGTGATTAACAGTTTGATCAAAAGTTAAGTAATGTTGAATAAGCTGCGTGGAGTTCTTTCGAAAGGATTGTTTCGGAGTTTTTAGGGAGCAAGGAAGTAGAAAATTACGAAACACTTGTAGATGAACAACCTGAAAACTACTGCAGAATGGGATGTCGCATTTCTTTCAAAATCCATTTGAGTTTTTTCCCAGAAAATTTGAGTGCTGTCAGTGACGAACAAGGAAAAAGGTTCCACTAAGACATACTGTCAGTGGAGGGAAAACGATGAAACATATAAACGAAAGTCAACATTTAAAAAAAAGACTCATTCATTAGTCGTGAATCCATAAAAAGAGTGAGGAACATATATCAGATAATTTTTTCACTTACCAAAGTTCTAAACGCCCTTCTCTACACAAAATATTAGGGTCGGCAGAAAATGTATAATGCGTAACATTCAGCGTGAAGTTACTCCCTCTCACGATTGTTGTTGATCTATGAGTCAGTGTGACGATAACAAACAAAATACTGATGAACGCTAATAGACAAAACGTTCCCACGATAACTATTATGGTTTTCCTTCTTTTTCGATACTCCAGCAAATCTTCTTTTGTCAGTAATTCCTCCTTCGCGAAGCTTGCATCCTGATAGCTCCTCGATCTTAGAGAACTTTTCCTCGAGCTGCTGTGGCTTATCCTGGAGCTTCTCCTGAATATATCATTCTCATACCTGAAGTGGTAGTTAGATTTCTTCTTAAAACTGCTGGAAGATAGACTGGTTGCCCGTCGTCGAGTATGTTTTCTCGGATTGGGGGCGCTTCGCCTTGTTTTGTCACTCCTCACGAAAATCTGCTCCCTCCGGCATCTTCGGTAGAGAATGTCTTCGAGCGACACTGTCCTCCTGAGTTTCTGCGGCTCTTCCCTGAAGGAAAATGAACTCGATCGTGAACTGGAGTTTCCGTCATTTTCGGGGATTTTCAAGAAAATGGACGTATCACTTTTCTTGTCGACGGCGAGGTACATTATAGCTGAAGTGAACTGTATAGGTTCATTAGATTCAGTGAGAGCGTTCAATTTTAACTGGAGTAAATTGTTATTGAATCCAACCAGGAGGTATAAATAGAAAATAAGGCAGAGTTTACCTAAGCCATAAACAAATCTGCTCTGACGTTCATTGGAAATGAAGTTAATTTCGTGATACGAGAGTTCTTTTGTCAATGAGTTGAGTTTACATACACGATATATGCTAAAATTATAATAAAGAAGGAGTTAATATCTGCATATTCGAATTCAATACGCTTTTTTCTAAATCTCATACACATGTCTTTTCAAAAACGTGTGTAAGGAATTTGATACGGCAAATCCATATCTTGGAACACTCGTGTGTATATTTTTAAATGAACGTTTTGAAAGGTAACAGATCATGGTGCTTACACGAAAGTGTTTTCGAAGGGAACAAACTATTTGAGAATTATTAACACGTTGAGTACTACCCACAACAAGTTCTACAAAAAGTATACAGGGTGTCCCAAACGTCAACATAAAGTGAAAACATAAAGTGACTCGCCCGAACATCTAAACGTGACCTCATTCAATTGTTTCTAGTGGAACAACAACTACTTGAAACCAGAGCCCAAATACATAACATTCGTGGTCCAACACCAGATAGCACGGTTTTGACCCACTGTTTCATCAGCGGTGCTACGCTGAAGCACACCTGCATTTCTTGATTCACCTATCCATTAAGGACTAGCTAAGTGAGGGCGATGACATCTCATTTTACGAAGACCCTGTTTATGGGATCATCAGAAAACTCAATCTATAAATGTCAAAGATAAATGAGTCTCCCAAAGGCGGTCAGTTATAAAGCTAAATTTCAACATCAATCGCCGACGAGATTGGTCCTCTGTCATTCTCTGAAACTTTCGCAGGAAGGTTTCTAGTTATAACCATCGAGAAAAAAAACGAATCATTTGTAACCCAACACCAGAAAGCGCTCTTTCAACCCGCCAAAGGTTTCATCTGTGGTGCTGAATCAAGAATGCATTGCAGGACGCATCTGTCCTCAAAGCACAAGCCTGAGTTAATAAAGGTTAATCTGTGATAAAGGCGATGATATGTTCCCTTATGAAGATTATACTCACGGGATAGACCAAAGACTCAACTTACAGCACTATCTGGTGTTGGAAATAATACTCTGTCTCTATGATGAGGTTACAACTAGTTGCCTTACAGTGTAAGCTGCAGTAAAAGACAGAGGATGAATGAATCTAGTTCAGTAGACAATGTGGGAGATCGCCTTAATAATCCGTGTTTATCTTTGATATTCGTAAATTGAGTGTTATGTCGATCCCATTGATGGCGTTTTTGTAAGGGGACAACCTGGATAACCTTGCTGTTGATCACAGTTTGAAGTGAAACAATGTTTCTTTTCATAATTTTTTTTCTTCATTACTTATCTTTGAGATTTGGTTCCGAAAATGAAAATATATGATTACATCTTGTCAAATATAGGATGCGACTTCAAAGTCTCGGCTTAGCACCTATCCTAAGATTCGCGTGGTAGAAAAATCTTAAATACGATCGGAGCTCAGAATCAACGCCAATCTTGTAGCGTCCACTTCGGTAAAGCATGGTACGCGACAAAAGTCTGTGCTCTAAAAAACTGGCATTAGAATCGAAATGGAGACGAAAAGTTTTGTGTGATCAAGCGACAGAAGCTAATGTGCTTTTTTTTCATGCAACAAGGAGCTGATAATGGCATAAGCATGGGCCTGAAACAAGTTCAAAAGTGTTTTGCATAAGCAGTGGGTGTAAGTTTGTGTAGCATTAAAACAATAGCTCGTGAAATGAAAACAAATAAAAATTGTGAGTCATCTGATTTTTCAACGCCAAGGGCCTTCTTCTTCGATATATAATCATTTACTACATTACTGAGAAAAAATTCCCGCCTTACGCCGCACACATAAAAATACGTTGACGAAAATGGTGACAAGGGTTTTAATGAGCCTCTGAGTAAAGTGATGAGAGAAATAGGATTCAGATGGAGGGAAACGAAAAAAAAAAAATTAATTTCTTCGCAGCGGCTGCGAAGAAATTTTCTCAGAGACATGAAGAAATAGCGTAAAGAAAGTCGAACAATAATTATAATTTATATGGATGAACCACATATCCATGCTTCACATATACATGAAAACAGTTGGAATGATGAGTTGAATGAAGGGTTGTTTGCACCAATTTCAAATGGTAAGAGGCACATAATTGTGAATACAGGAGGAAAAAATGGATTTTTGAAAAATGCAAATCTAAAATTCAAATTCAACAGAAAATCGGGTGACTATCATAGCGAAATGAATTACGACAATTACAAAAAGTGGTTTCAAGAAATGTTCATTTCCAAAAGTGTTTTGGTTATAGACAATGCCCCATACCACATGTTCAGTATGAAAAGTGCGCAAACATGTTCTCGAGATAAGATGAGATGAGAGAAGTTAAGATGACGGATCATTCATTTCACAGATGATATGCTAAAAATGTATCTCTATTTCGTTATTAAAATCCATAATCCACGATTCAAGTTGTATAAAATTGATAGGATTATGGAAAATCATGGACATAATGTACTCAGATTGCCTCCTCATCATCCAGATTTGAACCCAATAGAATTATTATGGGCATCACTGAAACAATATGTGGCTGATAAAAATGAGGGTTCCAAATTCGAATAAGTTGAAAGTTTATCTAACGAATTCTTCACTTCGTTTTCTCAAGAGCAGTTGGAAACACGTTCCGAACACGATCCGAACGTTTTGAAGAATTTTATGCTTCAAAGGAACTTGCTCTTGATTTTGTAATAGACAAAATTATTATGAATGTTCAAGGTGATAGTGACAACGATAGTACTAGTGAGGATAGTGATAACTCTACAAGCGATTCCGATCTACCTGGAGTTTAACCTTAAAGATGGACGTCTACCATCTTTGACGTGTGACGGATCAAGTTCTGGAGCTTCTCAGTTCTCCAACTCTTTATCACATCCAGGATGAGGTTCTTCAGCTCTTTATCAAATCTAGGATGATTCCTCATTAGATTGAGAAAAATGTACCATGGTCTAAAACTATGGAGGGGGTTTTTGTTCACAAGGAAATTCAGGCTCGTAAGCTCAATTTATTCGGTCGAGTTTGAATAGGAGTTAGCCACAATAAACCCTCGCGTGGTGCAGTGGAGACCTACATATAAAACTTGAAAAAAAATCATTGCTTGAAAATAATTTTTTGTCTTAAAAATCAGTTAGGTAGCCCTCTGTGGTGCCGCTGGAATCACGAATCTAATTACACCAAAAGATATCTTTTATTAGTACTATCAAAGTTAGCAAGTTTCATAGTAATGGGTGACTCAGAAGAAGTTAATATATTTTATCCTATAAAGTATGACTAGGAATCAGCTTCAGAAACTGGAGCTGTACCTCAAACCCTACATATCAAATGGAACGACTTGTAGAAATTTGAATGACTTGGAAGTGGACAACCAACAATTCATTAATGTAGTTAGTTGGTTTTATAATCAGATCTTTGAATATTATATGACTAGGATTCCAAGATATCTTCATCTCAAATCAAAAACCATAAAGCGAAATATAAAAGTGGACGAATAAGAATACCTTTGAATGTGGCTCGAAGGTCTAAATGTGTCTATTGATGTGATTATCTTTCACAACATATATGAATTTCATGTAGTAAGAAATTCATCGCAACATATGTATTGATAAACGAACGTTAAAGATAGTGAATTTATAAGCTATTAGGCCAGGATCCACCTCTGTCAACTTGAATTGGTAGATCTTTCATTTCCTAGACATCATTCAACAAATCTGTTCATTAAATGTTGGTGTACTTTGTTCCGAAATTATAGGTAACCACTGTTCTCTCTATGAAGTACATATTTTATAGACCACTACCCCAAAGAGGCTAGTGATCCTAAATAAGTTGAAACCATGATCATAGATTAGACAGCACTTTCAGATCTCCATAAATTTTATCAGTGTGCCTGGCCAAGCGTGAATGCAACATTTGCAGACTTCTGGAAATGAATGGAATAATCAGTGGTGGCAATGACAGTTTTCATGAAGAAACTCGTCTTCCCTCCACTGCTTCCAGATCAAATATTTCTTGAGATGTCGGTGGGTATCCCAATCGCGTCACTGCACAAAAAAATGTTACATTTTTCGACTTCCTAGGTCATCTTCAAAATGTCCTGGTGATCTCATTAGCACAAAATGTGCAATACCTATTAGGGATACATTAGGGAATAAATATTGCAAGCCTGTGGACACCCTGTATTCGCCAAGAAGATACAACACGGATCATGTCGAAATCATACCTGGAATCATTCTTACCTATGATATCCCTCACATATCATGTTTATTAGAGGTAAAACGGAAAATATAAAAATATATAACAGAACCAGAGTAACTTAATAATTATAACGTCCTCAAGCTCAAGCTATCCACTAGCTATAGGAATCGCCATTAATTTCAAATGTAAGCGGTATGCTTATATGGTGGAAATTCAGAGAATAAAATAGCCCCAGAAAGTATTATCCGATAACTCTCAATCCATTATGAATGTTTGTTTCCAATCTCTGGAAGAAAATTTTATTTTCGAGAAATCCACTGATTCACTTGTTTTCAGCCAATTTACGACAGTAATGTCAAAGGCAGTTCTTTGTTAATTTTTGGTCCCTAAATGCGAAAATGATGGTAAAAATTCTCTAACACGTAAGACTTTTGTGTTATGATTTTTTTCACAAAATTTTAATGAACACGACATTCTAAATTTGCTTTTTCCCTTTTCTTCCACTTGTCCAAAGAGATAAAATGTGTGTTTGTCTAAATCCAAATAGTGTGATTGAAAAATTAGGATTTGCACATAACCCTGTTGAATGGCGTTTATTTATAGATTCGTCTAAAACAAGTTTAAAAGCCGTTCTGCTCCNAGTTGCTGATGTTTGTACAGTTTTCTGGTTCGGAACAGTGTTCCAAGTTTTGAGAAGAAGAAGAAAGCGGAATTGTTCGTCCTGACATTATTATATCCGGTAACCAGGAGATGTGCGTTCATGTACATCACAAAACTCTTGAAGGATTTTGGATAGATCAACATAGTAAAAAACGTTTTCTTGTCACCCATACAGATTTCCATAAAAAATCGTTGCAACAATAAGACTAACTTTTTGAAACCCCTTGTAGAATTGGAACCAGATAATGTGCGTCTATAAAAATCGAACAAGTCTTTTGAAATCTCGGGTAGATTAACATAGTGATAGCAGTTATCTTGTCACCCATACAGATTTCCAGGAAAAAATATTGTAACAATCAGACTCACTTTTTGAATCACCTTGTAGAATTGGAACCAGATAATGTGCGTTCATGGAAATCACACAACTCCTTTAAAATCTTGAGTAGATCACTATAATGAAAACCGTTTTCTTGTCACCCATACAGATTTCCATAAAAATTTGTTGCAACAATCAGACTAACTTTTTGAAACCCCTTGTAGGATTGGAACCAGGACATGTGCGTTCATGAAAATAACACAACTCTTATAGAATCTTGGGTAGATCAACATAGTGAAAACTGTTTTCTTGTCACCCATACAGATTTCGAGAATAAAATTGTTGAAGCGATCAGACTGACTTTTTTAAACCCCTTGTTGAATTGGAACCAGATGATGTGCGTGCATAAAAATCGAACAAGTATTATAGAATTTCGGGTAGATCAACATAGTGAAAACCGTTTTCTTGTCACCCATACAGATTTCGAGAATAAAATTGTTGAAGCGATCAGACTGATTTTTTTAAACCCCTTGTTGAATTGGAACCAGATGATGTGCGAGCATAAAAATCGAACAAGTCTTATAGAATTTCGAATAGATTGACGTAGTGATAACAGTTATCTTGTCACCCATAAAGATTTCCAAGAAGAAATGTAACAATCAGACTCACTTTTTGAATCACCTTGTAGAATTGGAACCAGATGATGTGCGTTCATGAAAAACACACTAAGAGAGACTTTTTCGTTTTTTATGCACGCACATAATCTGTTTCCAATTCTACAAGGGGTTTTAAAAAGTTGGTCTGATTGTTTCAACAATTTTATTCTCGAAATCTTTATGTGTGGTTTTTTTCTGATTGATTCGGCCGTTACCCAATATTCTATAAGAGTTTTGTCATTTTCATGAACACACATCTCTTAGTTCCAATTTTACAAAAAATATCAAAAAATGAGTCTGATTGTTTCAACAATTTTTTTCTCGAAATCTGTTTGCGTGACATGAAATCTGTTTTTACTTCGTCAATCTACCCAAGATTCAGTTATGTCATTTTCATGAACGCACATCATCTGGTTCCAATTCTACAAGGGGTTTTAAAAAGTTAGCCTGATTGTTTCAACAATTTAATTCTCAAAATCTGTATGTGTGACAAGAAAACGGTTCCGACTACGTCAATCTACCCAACATTCCATAAGACATGTTCGATTTTCATGCACGCACATCTTCTGGTTCCAATTCTACAAGGGGTGTTTGAAAGTTAGTCTGATTGTTGCAACAATTTTTTTTTATGAAAATCTGTATGGGTGACTAGCAAATGGTTTTTACTATGTTTATCTAGCAAGATTCTATAGGAGTTGTGTGATTTGATGAACGCACATCATCTGGTTCCAATTCTACAAGGAATCTCAAAAAATGAGTCTGATTTTTTCAACAATTTTTTTTCGAAATCTGTATGAGTGACAAGTTTTTTTTTNCATCGACTTTATGTTGATGATATACACTACCTTGCACTGACGAGTGGCCAAACAGCCCGAAACCGGTCTGCAAGTGTGTTCCAATAATTGAAAATCTATTGCGGCAGTTGTATCGCCAATAACATATGTAGGAATAACTTCAGTGAAGAATCCTGCACTGACACCTGTCGGATATAATCCATCGCTCTTCGTGGTATTAGCCAGAGGAGTAGTTGTTTTCTGATAGGTGTCAGTCCATTAACCTACTGAGTAGGGAGTTGAGACTGGCCTGAACGAATTGTTCTTTTAAATGATTTGTTTTATAAAAAAGTTATACACCAAATAGTCTTAATAATTCCACATTCAACCTATTATGAATAGGTATTCTTCTCAAAAACATATCTGCTTGCCTTGTTGAAAATAAAGGCATTCTTATTACTATTAATGGAATACCAACAGGATTAGGCTAATTAGTGAGTTATGAAACATTTTTCATTCGATTATTACAATTTTTTCCTGAAATAGATTATCGAGAAAAAAAATTATGGCATGAACTTCACCTATTTCATCGATGATGGGTGCCATCCTGAGCGTTATCCCGATCAGTAATAGGCACATGAATAGTAAAAGTCCAGCAGTGGCTACAATGGTCCATTTAGCCCTTCTTGACACCTCTTCTTCTGTCAAATTTTTGTAAGTTTCGTGAAGATCAACTGGGTAGTCCAAATGGGCGTGGTGCATCGCCAGGCGTTTCTTCATTCTCCGTTTTCTTCGTCGTCTCTTTTTCCTTCTTGCTCGACGAAGAGCATCCTCTGAAATAATAGCGTCGGTTTCGACATCGCCAAAGCCGTCCATTTTCAAGGAGATGTAATCATCGTCAAAATGCATCCTGAAAAAGAAAATCCTGACATTTCAAAGAACTTCTTGTGGAGTTATTACATTATTGAGTAATTCAGTCAATCAACTGAATCTTGGAATATAGTAGTGGAGGAACGCGAAGTCATAGATTATTTGTGAAAATGCTTGTTAAAATTTTTTATACTGTCAATATTCTTATAGGTATTTTAGTAATTCTTCGGATGTCGGTTGAACACCACAAAAAAACAACACTTGCAGTTTACTACCATTCACTAATTCTGCAGTCTACAGTCTACAGAAGTCTATAGAAGTGACTACAACTATACTTAGCACCGAAAATATAATTCCATAAAAACAAATCCCTAGATCTACCAATCCTGGGATATTTGGAATTTCTGATGATATTATTATTTTATTGTCTTGTGGAATTGGCCGCGGTGGTAATGCGCCCGACTCACGATCGAAAGGCCGTGGGTTCGATTTCCGCATCGACCAGATATTTTTCTCGAGAGAATTTATCTGGTTGAAGCTGGGATGATTCTGAAACCGTGTTAGGAATCACACATTAAAAGATGAGACCTTCTTAGCCCTCAGTTCGCACAAGTTTCTCAACTTCTGAGAGTTGTCGTTCGTATGGGGGCGACAGCTGATTAACGGAAACACAGTTATTTTTTAGATTTTTTATACCGATGTTGGCAAATGAGCAAAACGTGACTCAGCTGTGTATAACTTCTTCTCTGCCAAACTGATCTCCGAAGAATATTGATAAATCATCGTCATTTGAACAATCTCGCCGCAATGTCTCCATAAAGATTCTACCTACTAACAGTTTTGATCAATGAATGAATATTCAACCCGCTTAGTTTTGCTCGATAAAATGATAGACGTATCATCGGCACAGAGGTAAATTTTGTAATAACTTATGTTATTTGGATGTGGAGTGAAAAATTTCACTGGACCAAGAATAATACCTTGTGGAGTTCCTCTCGTTACAGAATAGTCATCTGATATTGTATTGCTCTGTTTCGCCTTGAAATATCGGTCAGACAAGAAAGCTCATTTATATTGCCTCGGATGCCAATGTTGGAGATTTTCTCAGAAATTAGTTCAATACTCAAAGTATCGAAAGATTTGCTTAAGTCGATCAGTCCCACAACACCTTTTTTCTCATTGATTGAATCATGAATTTCTTGTACCAAGTTGAGTGATTGATAGTTTGGGATTACTTTCATATAACAATTGAAATCACGTGGTTCTCATCAAACTCTACATTGTTGATTGTTTTTCTACATATTTAAACTATTTGAATATTATGTAGATATATATTACTTCCACTTGAGGTGATCACCAAAAAGCACTGGTTTTGGAGTATTATCCCCTTGCCAGTCAGAAATGACTTGGCTTCAGCTTTCCATAACATACAGTAATTGAACATACGGTAATTGAACATACAGGGTGTTAATTAGGTATGTACCATCAATTTAACAGACGATTCTTTAGGTAATTTTAAGAAGAAATGTTCATATAAACATGTGTCCGCAAATCCTTCGTTCTTGAGATACAGGGTTTCGATACGTGATTCAATTTATTAAGTCGACCTAATTGCATATCCACACACTGGCAAACATCAACGCGCAAGCCTGTATGACACACATGTATGATGCACATGTATGCTAGTCTGTGGCCACCTTTATAATGTACATAAGGAAACCTTGGAAAATATGCAAAGGCGTTGTCTGAAGTTTCTTGCATTTAGAACTAATGGCGTGTACCTATAAATCATCGTCATTTGAACAATCTCGCCGCAATGTCTCCATAAAGATTCTACCTACTAACAGTTTTGATCAATGAATGAATATTCAACCCGCTTGTATTAGTTGCAGGACCCCTACAACTCTAGACCCTTCAGTACCTCTCAGCTGTTACCTAAACTGTTATCTTAGCTGCTACCCTCAACTATTACCATTGTTTATCCTTTCCTCAACTTAATCGGCTACGACTTTAGTACTTCTTGTTTACTTAATTTTTCTTACTAAAAGTCCAAGAGAAAATAAAGATTTGAGTCTGAGATTTCAAATACAAAATATAACATACATATGAACATACAGTGCGGTCCATATGTATGGAATAAATTCATTTTTGGCGTTATTATGTACTATGTGAAAAAACCTGAAACACGTCGATTTTTATCCCTAAATTGACAATTTACAGTATGAAAATATTAGTCCCCTCCAGCATCTCTTCTGAATTATAAACACCCCCTCGAAAATTTTAAATAGCAAA